TATATATATATACATGAGAGTACAAATCTTGTTCACAATGAAATGATTTACATAATTCAATAGACTTATATCGTAACATTTTTGCATACAAATATCAGAAATACACTTTGTATGTTGAGGCCTACAATGCCCACAACAAAATATGTGAATTGGATAGAAATGTGTTTATCAACAAAGTAGACCTATGTTATACATAACAGGTTGAAACTATTTTTAATTTAAAACTGAGATCCTAAAACCATTGATCTTTACACGTAATTAGTGAACAATAAATAAAAACAGAACATTTTAGATACACAGAACGCTCTTAAGTTTTTTTTTTAGTCTGTGTTTGGTTGTTACATGTCATTAAAAATAATAAAGGATTGTATTACAACGTATTTTATATTGTCTTTATATTCTTAACAATCGATGTAAATGTATAATGTTTATTGTGTAATTAATTGTTCCTACATATGAAAATTATGTTGTCTTATTGTTTTAATACAAGAAATAAGAAATATGACTGTGAATAGGGTATAAAGGGAGGTCAGTGTTATTTATTTAATACAAGTTTTGCTACTCTTTTGATAGTTACCTTTTTGACAATTATCAATACTTACCTTTTGTTTGCTTATAAATTATAATAAACAAGAAAATTCTATAATTAATATAATAAAGCTATACAAGGTCTACTAAAATTTTTATCCAATTTTCTCGTATTAAATTAAAATAGAACCTAAATATTTTTGAGAAAAATAAACCAACCAACTTAACGCTAACATTTATTCTTTTATTTTATTAGCTTTTGAAAACTATAAACGATGTTCCCTTGTCTAACACCAATCGTCCATACACAATTTTACCTTTAAGGCCAGGTCATGTGGATAAAATCTGAGATTGTCGAGGGTCGTCAACCAGTGGCTCGCGAGTTGCATGCGGCTATTTCAAAGTCAAGATGCGGCTCTTCAGCTCCATGCACAACTATTGATAATCATTTTTATGATTTATAAACTCATGAAAATGCTTTATATAACTGTCGGTAATTAACGATATACACTGGCTATTTAAGTAGAACTTCTAGTTACTATATCAATGTACCATTACATTGTCCATCCTGAATTGAAACAATCAACTTCATAGTTGATAACCAAGCCTATGCCTTGCTTGAAGAAATGGATATTTTCGAAAACAAATATTCGCATCTTTTTGTTGAAGATATGGAGAGCAATAAATTACTTTATTTCGGAAAGATCTGAAAAATATCGTGATAAAACCAATACTACTATTAATACGAATCACTTCAGCATTACTATAAACAAAAAATGAACAAAATTCACTGAGAGATTTAAACAAATACACGTATTTTGAAGTTCATAGTAGATCCTCTCAACACAAAAACAAATGAGATCAACATTGAGCCATTTGGAATTGATGTCAGTTCGCTTTAAATGCAATAGCTGGAAACAAAACACTTAAGGAATGATAAGTTCACAAAACACTATAGCAAGTTAAAAGAGTTAGAGATTCAGTAAAACATGCACGTTACGCTCCACAAATGAGGCACTTTTATAGGACGCAGACGCATGGAATAGTCTTCTAGAATGCTACAGTGAGGTGAGGAAGTTGGCATTTGGAGTGCTGAAGATCTTCGGGTCAACATATTCGTGCGAGCGTTCACTTGCATGAATATAACGTAAAGTACAGTAAGAATCCAACTAACAAACAGAAGCGTGCTTGAAATTAAAAACAACAAGATATTATCCAGATTTAACCAAACCTTCAAAAGGCTTGCAAGACCAAACAATTTTTTATGGGTTTTTTTTTTTAGTTGTTTGAAGATTTATTTAGTTTTTCAAATAAATACAGTGCACTGCAGTTTTGAAATTTCAAAATAATTTACATTTCTGTACACTGACACCAGGTAGAGAATAAAAAAAACCTAAGCCCTTTATTTGACTTTGTAATAAGCAACTGAATGCTCACATTGACAATTTTAACTACCATGAGTATTTGCCTCCACTACTCCTAAAATATCATCATTTAACATCCATTCCAAAAAAAAAAAAATTAAGTTTACTAAAGAAATTTAGAAATTCAATTGGCTTTCTATTGTAAAATTGCCTTTTAAACATTTAGTATAAATTAGGTAAAAAACAATTTATTTGTAATCAAAGCCTGGAAATTATTTGAATAAAACATCAGTTTTTTTTTCCAGATTTAAAAAATCTGATAGGCTTTAACTCAACATTTCTTTCTCATTCTGCAAAGACTATGTTATCAAAATTATTGGATGTTTAACTTAAATAAAGCAACTTTTAAAATGATAATGAAAAAATATGAAAACTTAAATTCTTCACCGTTTTACTTAACTATTTTACACCCTTCAATATCTATTTGACTAAGTTCTATAAAGAAAGGACAATGTAAAACTGACAATTCTTTCTGTAGTTTTCCAGTACAGCTTTTTAATAGTCTTCGCCTCTTGATACCACCTCCTTGCAGGTGGGTCTCAAAATGATAGTGTGCTCAAACTGAGCGGTATATGAGCCTTTTTGATCACAGAGAGGAGGGTAAGGATCCACAATTCCAGCATCACACAAGTTTTTCAGCGCCATTAAGTATTTGCTTTGGCCCAGCCTATCCAGCCAGCGACGACAGAAAGCCAGGGTCCCAAAGTTCTGGTTGATGACATTCAACAACTGTCGACAGAAAGTCAGGGTCCCAAAGTTCTGGTTGATGACATTCAACAACTGTCGACAGAAAGTCAGGGTCCCAAAGTTCTGGTTGATGACATTCAACAACTGTCGACAGAAAGTCAGGGTCCCAAAGTTCTGGTTGATGACATTCAACAACTGTCGACAGAAAGCCAGGGTCCCAAAGTTCTGGTTGATGGCATTCAACAACTGACGACAGAAAGCCAGGGTCCCAAAGTTCTGGTTGATGGCATTCAACAACTGACGACAGAAAGCCAGGGTCCCAAAGTTCTGGTTGATGACATTCAACAACTGTCGACAGAAAGCCAGGGTCCCAAAGTTCTGGTTGATGACATTCAACAACTGTCGACAGAAAGCCAGGGTCCCAAAGTTCTGGTTGATGACATTCAACAACTGTCGACAGAAAGCCAGGGTCCCAAAGTTCTGGTTGATGACATTCAACAACTGTCGACAGAAAGCCAGGGTCCCAAAGTTCTGGTTGATGACATTCAACAACTGTCGACAGAAAGCCAGGGTCCCAAAGTTCTGGTTGATGACATTCAACAACTGTTTAGACTTGGCAAGCCTGAGCGGAACATGACCAACTTCAAAGTTTTTCATGTAATGAGAGACTTCCATATCATCATGTACATGGCCTTTGCCAGTACTGCCAAAGGTTTCAATAGCATAGACTTCACCTTCCTCCATTCTGGTTGCTTCACCCCCTTTGACGATTGGCACAGTATTTCCACCATGTATTCTGTACTGACTAATAGAGTGACCATTCAAGTTTCTAATTGGCTTAACTTGATAAGTTTTACCATCAAGCTCCACCTCATATGATTCCATGACTTCCTGTATCTGCTCACCAACATCACACAGCCTCACATCAATACCTGCAGCACGCACACCTGTGTTGGTTGCATCTTTCACGGCCAATAGTAGCTGATCATATTTTGGGTTGAATATCAAAGTAAAGGCACAATCCACAAGATGACCATTTATGTGGGTTCTAAAGTCAATTTTACAAACATCATCATAACCAAGGACAGTTGTATCACCAGCATTAGGTGTGTAGTGGGCAGCACAATGGTTCAGGGAGCAGCCAGTGGGAAAAGCTAGACCAGCTTCCAATCCATTCTCTTTGATTAACTTTCTGGCTGTGCTTTCTAGCTCTTCACAAATATCAAACATGGTCATTCCTGGTTTAATAATTGACTTCATATATTTTCGGGTCTGTCTGTGGGCCTCTGCTGCTAATCTCATATCTTCATACAAATGGCTGTGAGATTTATCCAACATCTTTTTCTCTTCATCTGTCATTCTGTTTTTAGCAGTACGATTATCCTGCTCTGTTGGGTATTCCATGATCTCCCCAACAGGATAGTTTCCTGGGCTAAAAAGCTCTACTATTGGTATTGATGGAGGCACAGTCTGTTGTTTGTTTGCTCCTCCCCCTACATTGGCCTTCCTCTTTTTATTTCTTTTTTTTTCTTTTTCTTTCCATCTCCATCATCTGCATCTTCCTCTTGCGCTTCTTCTGCATAAATTTTGACTGAATTTAAATCCTTGACAATAAGTTCAATTTGAGCTGCAGAAACGTTCTCTTCCGAATTTTCATTATTTCCATTACAAACATTGTTTTTCTTCTTTTTGCGTTTCTTTTTCTTTTTTGAATCAACGGTTTCTTGCTGATCAGCTATCAATTCTAGGGGTTCTCCATTAGAAGGAAATTCTTCGGTTTTTGTCTCTTCGATAGGATCAGTTTTCAAATAGTATTCAATAATTATAGTTATATAATTTGATTACTAATTTTATTATTCTAGTTGGGTTAGCTAAAATACTTTAGTATATTTTCTGTGAAACACGTGTATGTTTTTATATGAAGAAATATTAATTTCATATTTAAAAGCTATTTATTTTAAATTTAATATATATATATATATATATATATATATATATATATATATATATATATATATATATATATATATATATATATATATATATATATATATATATATGGTGACCCGTCAAAAGAGCGCACGACAAAAGAGCGCCGACATAAGAGCGCAGACAAAAGAGCGCCGACATAAGAGCGCCGACATAAGAGCGCACTAATTTCCCGACAAAAGAGCGCCGACATAAGAGCGCAAACTAAAAATCGAAAAACCACATCTAATAAATAGGAACAAGAAAATTAACTCAGATCAGAAGGCATTGTTTGATGTTAACTCTTTATTGTTTCATTAAAAAAACTAATTGTTCAGTTTCTTAAACTAAAAAAACTGGTATTGACGATTGATATTATTCGTTGTTCCGAACATGATCATTCTGTAAGTGTCAGTCCCACAATCCTACAAGACGAAATTTTGTCCTCTTGTTGACGTTTGAAGAGGTTCTGGAATTTTTATCGATAATATATATAGAATATATATTCTATCAGGAATTGTTATCCCTGCAACGTTCTGTGGATTAGGGTATGACAACATTCCCTTTCTGTGATTCGATCTTCTCTATGTTACTTGGGTTAGAACTATTTTCAAACTGCATTCATAACATATTAACCATAATATATAAATAAAGACGTTGTTCTCTCGGCGATTGTTTAATTAAAACAAGTGTTAAACATGTCATATTCGTTAGCATACAACATGTGTTTTTTTAATTGACTGCGCCAGTGGCGGAACTAGAAAAAAATGGCCCCCCCGCAAAAAAATTTTTTTAGGCCCCTATATATATATATATATATCTATATGTATATATATATATATATATATATATATATATATATATATATATATATATATATATATATATATATATATATATATATATATATATATATATATATATCGGGTGCAGTGGCGTAGCGAGGTCGGGTGTCACCCGGTGCGGCACTTAATGGTGTCACCCCCCCAGAGGCATAGAGACCCTTCCCAGGGACAAATTTTCGATTTGCACCCCCCCCTCAAGTTTTCGATTTGTACCCCCCCCCCCCTCAAGTTTTCGATTTGCACCCCCCCTCAAACTTTCGATTTGCACCCCCCCCCCCTCGAGTTTTTCTCTATATATTTTGCTATTTTTTGCCTTGGTGTCACCCCCCTAAATGGTGTCACCCGGTGCGGTCCGCACCCCCCGCCCCCCCCCCCCCCCCCCCGAAAGAAATTAAATTTATATAATTTATATAGAAAATATATACTTTTAACAGTGCCCGCCCCCCCCCTCCGAAAATTTCAAGTGCCCCCCCCCCCCCGAAGAAAAAAGTCTGGAAGAAACACTGCCAAAGACCCACCCATATTATAACCGAATATAACCTCTCCCCGTTACGGGCTAAACATGAAATTAAACATTAATACATTCAAAGGTGATATAGATCTTTTGGTTGTTTTAAGGCTTAAAAGCTAGATCATTGTATCCTAAATTTGATTAACTTTAATGTATTTAGTGTTAATAACTAATGTTCAATTAATACGTGTACTAATTATAAAACAATTAATAATATAAGGACGAGCCTTACCTTCCTTGTTGTGTGAATTAGACTCGTCAACAAAATACTTCATCAGGTAAATGAACAACTACTGACTAGTGTCTTTAACAAAATGTGCAGAAGTGGTCAGTTTACAGTTCAGTAGTTCATAGACGGTTCGTTAATCTATGCATTACATCTTATTGTAAGAGTAAGGGTGTGGTGAGGGGTAGAGGTGAGGGGTAGGGGTGAGAGGGGGGTGAGGGGGGAGGGGTGAGAGTTGGGAAGGTTCAAGGGAAGGGGACTAGAAAGTGCCGATAAACATCTACATCAATAGTGCCGACTTTTTCCGGTCGTCTAGAAGACCAGAATAGTCGCCGCAACATTTCCCCAGCCCGATTTCAAAGCGTGCCGGCAAAAACTTCAGATGCTTCGCTAAAGGGAGATAACTTAAACTTTCACAAGTTTATTGATACAGTTGTTAAAGTAAAAATGAACGCAATTATAAATGTATGACATCGAAATAACTAATTATATTTTTTGTAGAGTCCAGGCCAGTAGTTTAAACACACAATCATATATATATATATATATATATATATATATATATATATATATATATATATATATATATATATATATATATTTAATAATGTAAACAATATAACAATTCTTTTTTGTTCTCCTAATCGACGCCACTAAAAGTAAAAAGGTAGGCTACGTCTTTGAAGTTGTCTATATGTCTGGCGGTCTCTCGAGCTATAGTCTGTGCATTTTTCTCAAAGACGTTTGCCGACTATCGTGTTTTTTTGTAACTGTAGAAGAAAGATAACTCAACCTCCACCTAATTTTAAAAAAAAAAAATTAATTTAAAAAAAAAAAAAAAAATTTACATTTTTTTTTTTAAATAATTTAGCCAGGATTTTTGGGCCCCCAATCGGTCTGCCCCCCCCCCCCCGCATTGCGGTGTCTGGCGGCACTGTTGTTCCGCCCCTGCGTCTTTGAAGTTGTCTATATGTCTGGCGGTCTCTCGAGCTATATTCTGTACATTTTTTTCAAAGACGTTTGCCGACTATCGTGTTTTTTTGTAACTGTAGAAGAAAGATAACTCGAACTCCACCTAATTTAAAAAAAAAAAAATTTAATTTTTTTTTTGTTTTAATTTTTTTTTTTACATTTTTTTTAAAAATAATTTAGCCAGGATTTTTGGGCCCCCAATCGGTCTGCCCCCCTCCCACGCATTGCGGTGTCTGGCGGCACTGTAGTTCCGCCCCTGCGTCTTTGAAGTTGTCTATATGTCTGGCGGTCTCTCGAGCTATAGTCTGTACATTTTTTTTTTCAAAGACGTTTGCCGACTATCGTGTTTTTTGTAACTGTAGAAGAAAGATAACTCGACCTCCACCTAATTTAAAAAAAAAAAATTAATTTTTGCGCTCTTTTGTCGTGTGCTCTTTTGACGGGGTGCCTATATATATATATATATATATATATATATATATATATATATATATATATATATATATATATATATATCTTTTAAAGAAGGGGAAATTTTGTAAATTGTAACTTTTGGCTCTACCATCTCAAAAGGTTGCCGACCCCTGTTATAAGTTTATTTTTATTTTTTTACCACGGTTTAACACAAGAGCTGGCTTCCCTACATAATATGTATGGCACTGTTACCGGAGAGGATATATTCAATGAGGTAAAAAAACATTTGCTGATTATAACTTGGACTGGACTAACCTCAGTTACCTGACTGTTGATGGAGGAAAGTGGCATAAAGAAAGGCTTGATTGGACAACCGAGCAGATGTGTAATGAGAACAACATTGTACAACCAATGTCCCTGCACTGTATTTTTCACCAGCAAGCTTTGTGTGCTTAATATATGGACATACGCAGTGTAGTGAATCTTGTGTTGAAGATGGTGAATTAATAAGGTCACATTGTCACATGGGCTCAACTATATATAGTTCGGAGACATGTTGAAAGATACAAACACAGAATCGCAAGATTTACCAGTAAGATGACTAAGTTGTGAGAAAGTTCTGAGCAGGATATTTAGTTAAGAAAGGAAATAGGTCTTTCTTCTTCTTCTTCGTTCTTAATTATTAGTGTTGAAGGGGATCGAGATTTATCTGCCATTGGGTTTGAACTCGAGTCTTTGTTCGAATTTTTCAACCATGAGCTTTTTGCCGACTCGACCACGCCTCCAACACAATTAAGCGTTACGTGTCAACTGTTTATGCGCCATTGAGGCCATTGACTCCGATTTCAGCCTGCTTTTCTTTTTGGATTTGCTTCCATAGCCTTTGTCCAACCAAGAACAAACTACAAAGCAGTTGTTTAATTTTGGAGTTGTCTCTCCTAGAAGAGTGGCTGTCCCCAGCTAACGAGCCTCATCTGCCCGAGGGTTCGAACTCGAGACTTTTCGGTTTAGCAACCATGAGCTTTACCGACTCGACCACGCCGACCCCTAGGAAATAGGTGACTCTCTGGAAAATAAAGCAAGCCGCTGCTATTAATGCCTGATGAAAAGTATGGAAATTGGCCTCTGCTGTAAACATAACGTCATTTAACTTTTCTGAACCTAAAACTACAAGAGAGGGAAATCTAGTTTCTGATCTATACACCCACCTAAAAGCCTTAAGAACCAAACTTGCCATGTTTTTGGAACGAGTACAGGCCAACAACTGGACGCACTTTTAGCAGTGCAAAGTCTTCATAGTTGAAGCAACAACTGTGCCCCAGGTCATTTGCATGCAAGATCATCAAAGACCTCCAGGTTTATTTTCAGTAGCGGTTTTCTGACTTGCATTCAAAGGCATAAGAAGTGAGACTGTTTCAAAACATTTGAAGCAAATGTGGCCAGTTGCCCAGATGAACTGCAGCTGGAGGTCACTAAATCGCAAGTAAATGACATCCTTAGAGACTAGTTCAAAGAAGGAAGGTTGGGTTTTTATTATTTTATTTTATTACCACGTTTTTCTTAACTCAGCTTCGCGTTTGTTTGTGGATTTGTTTGTTTGTTGTTAAAATTGACAACGAAAATTAGCCCACTTCTGATTGCTCTAGAGATCTGAAATTCGGCATGCAGGCTATTTTCGCCTACCAATTTCAGATGCAATCATAAAAACTAGCAATTAGAGACCTAAATTAGCTAAATTAAATTACGCCCCTAGGACCCTAAAATTGAGGACATGATTTCTCAAAAACGCATGTAAATTTATAAATTACTAATAATATCCCGCACTTTTATACACATTTTATTAGGCGTTCACTTGGTGTGGGACGGAGTGGTCTAGCGGTAGAGAGATGGACTGCTAACCCGTTAGTCTCGAGTTCGAATCCGAGTTCAAGTCAGTAGACCGTCCTTGAGTCCACCCAACTCTGATGGGTACCTAACTCCTGTTAGGGAAAGTAAAGGCGGCTGGGCATAGTGCTGACCACACTATCTCTTCATATGCCGAGGTCACAGAAACAAGTGAACTCTACTTCACTTGCACCATAGACCGTCAGGTTTGAAAGAGAAACTTTTCACTTGGTGTGCAATTCTTTTTTTTATTACCACGTTTTTTTTTACCACGTTTTTCGTAACTCAGCTTCGCGTTTGTTTATGGATTTGTTTGTTGTTAAAATTGACAACGAAAATTAGCCCACTTCTGATTGCTCTAGAGATCTGAAATACGGCATGCAGGCTATTTTTGCCTAACAATTTCAGATGCAATCATAAAAACTAGCAATTAGATACCTAAATTAGCTTAATTAAATTACGCCCCTTCTCTGTTTAAAGCGTATCGGTCGCTCAAGATTTTTAGTTCGTGTGTTTGTTGACAACCCCAGACCATCACGTGATTCGTGAGTA